CCAAATTTATTCCTACCTTGGAACTTGTGCAGTAGCTATACATTCTACCTAAATTACTCTGCCCTCAGATTTTCCTGATTGGTTCTTTTTCATTCAAGTCATTCTTCAACTGTCTGTTTAAGGAGGCCTGCTGTTAAAGTAGTCCTCTTAAACACCTCATATCCTGCTTTGATTTCTTCCATCTTTATTATCACTGTCTAAGTTATCTTGTGTGTTTATGTATTTACTTGTTGTTGTCTGTTTTTCCTTTTTAAAATGTAAGCTCCGTGAGAGCAGGGACCTTTTCTGTCTTGTTTACTGCTGTATCAACAGCCTTTGGAATAATGGCTGGTACATATTAAGCACTTAGTAAGTATCTTTTTGAATTGAATGAGTAAATGTTTTCTAGATCCAAGTGTAGATGTTACTAAACTCATTTGAAGGAAAAAAAAAACACGATTATCTTAATTTTATTATTGATATTTGTTACATATTAAAAGTCACAGTAGATTCACCATTTAGATGAATTTGTATGTGCTAAAATATGGATTAGATATTGGAACATCTAAAAATACATGACTTAAAAATCACATTGACTATGAATTTGAATGTCTTCATTGTTTTGGAAAGAAATTTGATCAAAATAGGATTCTTGTAAAGTTCAACTGAAACATGAGCTAATGTATCTTTTTTTTTCTTCTTAAAACAGTCAGGTGGATTATCGAGCAAAACTCTGGGCTTGTAATTTTTGTTATCAAAGGAATCAGGTAAGAACCCCCCCATTGCAGATGTTAGTGCTGTCACAGAAATTTAGTTACTAAACACTGTATTAACACTATTTAATCACACAGAGAAATGCATATTTAAAAAGATAGAACAGTTATTTTTAATATGATGAAATATGATGCTGTAAATTTTTGTTTTTTTCTATTTGTAGTTTCCACCTACCTATGCTGGCATATCTGAACTGAATCAGCCTGCTGAGCTTTTACCCCAGTTTTCTAGCATTGAATATGTAGTACTGGTAAGACCATCAGAGCAAATCTTTTAAGAAAATTTTTAACATCCAGTAACTTACTTTATAACAAAATAATTTGTAAATTGATATGGCTTAAAAGGCATTGTCTTTAATTCTAATGTTGAATTGATGGAGCATTGCAAAGGTAATAACTGTCAAGGTCAGTTTGAGTAAGATAATTTCTCTCTTGTAGTTATTTGATGGGCAGCCAGAATACTGGGTAGAGTGATGTGATCTGGTATAATGAGTAGATCAATGAAGTATCAGTTTTGCTTTGTTGTTAGAAGATCAGTTCACAAATACTTAGTATGATAATGGAACCTGTTGCTGTATCCCACAGTATAGTTGATGAAATCATTCTTGCATTGGTCCTTGTTAGAAAATTCATTTCCTTCCACTTTCTGAATAGCTTCACATAGTTGTCTTTGTAGTTAGAGTCTGGAAGTAATACTATCCTTTATAATACTGTAAAGTAAACAGAATTATCATATGGTTCTCTTGAGCCAGTCAGTAATTTGCCCCACCTGGCCAGTTTCTGCTTCTCTGAAAATCTAGGTTAATTAAGATAAGTTAATTAAGATAAGATAAACCTAAGATAAATGTAAGGTTAATTAAATTAAAATAAATTAAGATAATTA